GGTCTTCTATACGTCTTTTCATAAAACAGATAAAGAAGAAAGTAAAGAAAAAGAGAAGGCAATACGTCTTTCAAAGAAAAAGAATTTGATTTTTACTTTTTTCTTTTCCTCTCCCTCTTTTCTCTATTCACCTACATGTGTACGTCTCTCTCTCTCTCTCTCTATGTATATGGATATAGGATATGTTTATATGATATACGTACTTATTAAAATACTATTATTTTAATAAACAAATATTATGATTTGTTGAAAAAAATAATTATTTATTACTTAATTAAGAATAAAGGTTTGATAATAATGTTATTTAAATAAATAATAATATTATTTATTATTATTAAATAGATGACGTTAATGAGGGCATTAACGTCATTTCAGCACCTATTAGAAGTTGGAAGCAGACGTGATGTCAAACACCCCTTACCTCTGAAAAGCAAGTTTTTTCAGATTTTAAACGTCTGAAAAATGTTATAAAATACAACACAAGTAAATTGGTTAAGCCTCCTAAATGATGGTGGATTCAAATAATTATTGTTTCATTAGATAGGTTATTGTGACCATACCACAGATAAGGCTGCCTTCCTCCCCACATCTTGAAAGATGAATCACTCTATTTTGATGGCAGTTCTGATGACAAACCAGGTCTCTCTAGCAAAGGTGGGTATTCTCGGAATACGAGGGAATACTTGTTTCACAGCTTAACTACATAGTTGGTGATGTTGGTTTAACTAAGTCTAATGTTAGCTCAGTTTGATGTCATGGCAACTCATTTTGGTGCCAATATAATTGAGTCATCAGTTCTCTCAGGAGAATATGGTCCTCTTCCTTGAAACATCAGGGATTCGTTGTAGTAATTTAACAGCCTGGTTGGAGATGTTGGTGCCACTATAGTTGAGTTATCAGTCTTCTTAGGAGCGAAGATGGATTAAAGAATATGGTCCTCTTCATTGATCATATTTTGGTGACAATTCTAATTCAGTATGGAGAACGACTTGGTACTACTCCTAGAAATTGCCACATTACATAAAGAAGATTAAAAAGTTCCTTTGCCATCTTTTGGTATTGGGGATTATATATGTTTAAGTACCAAAAACTTGCCTTGAAGTGGATGGTGGAGGTGTAGACATGCTTGAGGCGTACACCTCTAATTTAAAGGTATAGAAGGCATACACTTCACAAGCTCTTACCTTTTGAGAAAGGTTTTGTTAGAAAAATATTGTCAACAAAATTGGGGGAACCACTTTATCATATTTTGCATTTTATATAATCAATGTTTTAAAACGTGGAGGTGTGACACGAGGTGTTCCACTACCTAGAGGCATGAGGTGTAGTTCAGAATGTAAGAGGCGTAGGCCTCCTGAACAAAAGGAGGCATAAGCCTCCTTAAGAGGGGGGTCAAGAGGAAGAAGGAAGAGGAAGGGGGATCCCATTTTTTCTTTATTTTTAATAAAAACCTTTTGTACTAAGAAGAATAAAGATGCACCACACTAGATGAAAGGGGGCCGGGGGCAGACCACTTTCTTTCCTTCCCCTTATCTTTTCTTCCCTTCCCTTTTCTTTTTTCTTTCTTCACTTTCTTTCTTTTTCTTTCCCTTCCCTTTCTTTTCTTTTGTTTTCCTTTCCTTTTTTTCTTTTTTCTTTTTTTTTTTCAGTCTTTATATCAGGTGTGCATGAGGCGTACGCCTCTAGTACGCCTCATGAAAAAAGCGCATGAGGCGTACACCTCTTGCACCTGAGGTGTATGCCTTAGAGGTGTCAGCACTTTTGGCATACGCCTCAGGGTGTTTTGGGGGAGCGCCTTGCCTGGAGGCGTATGCCTCCCATGCCTTTTAAAACACTGTATATAATATATTAAAATAGTACAAAGGAGGAAAATCCTCCAAATTTGTTTATTGTAATATTAAAAGAAAATGACAGAATTTCTTTGTCATAATAAATGAAAAGGTAATTTATTAATGAAAAATTTCAAGATACATAGGGGATAGAAAAGGATGATGAGATAACATCCTTACAGGAAAATCAAAGCAGATGCATAAAGATTCAAGGAAACAAATGAAAGTGACCCTTCCATAATTTCCAAATTAACCCAAAAATCAGATCTGGGTGAGTCCTTTGTACATTAGCAAAATCAGGTATGATGAAGATCTAGTGCATCAGTTCATTCCATAATTCCAAATAAAGTTTCTCCTACTTTTTTTTGTCTTTAAAGAAATGAGCTTTGGTTTCTTGTAATGCTTCTTTACATTTGAGTATGAGATGACACACTTTTTATGTTAACATTCTGGAATTTGTGTGTATTGTTAATTCTGAAATTTTGATCTTGAACTTGCCATGTGATGTACTGATGGCTGATGGTACTTCTATAATTATGGTTGATGATGCCTAATGCATTGATACTTGAGCTTTATATTTAAATGTGATGGGTGGTAAACTACACTTAATGGGATATGAAATTTTCTAATTTCTCATAAATTTCCCTATTATTTGTGGGGGGAAATTTATAGATAGGTACCCTATACTTTGGGGATAGTTACACTTAAGGGCCTGAGATTTCAAGTGTGACATTTTGGTATCCTGAAGTTTGGGAAATATACACTCAAGTCCAAAACCGTTAATTCGTGTTACAGTGGTTGGTGGGTGGTAAATTACCAAACAAAGGATGCAATGAGGGAAACATTGTTTAACATCTCCAACCTCCCCAACATGAAAGAGGATAGAGCAGTGCCCTATTGTTTTTTCTTCCTACTTTGTCGAGTTTGCAGAACAGCTCTATTATGAACCCGTTTTGGCTCTGTTGTGAGATTCAATTTGCTTCCTATCAAACCCGAGTCTAACACCTGAACTATCGGCGATCTCTCTCTCTTTTAGGAGATTGCAGGAATGTTGTTATTTGCTATTTAGAGCCCATAGACCTGCTAGCACCCTCACCAGTCCTCTTCCTTTTTCATTTCTTAGTTTCTCTGCAAACCCATGTTACATCATTAACGATGGGGTTCAGTTCGTTTGTCAAGGGATCTAAACCCCTGTTTCGCTGTGGCAAATCATCTCTCATGGATGGATTTTAGTTGAGCATCACTTGCTGCTCTATAGATTAAAACTAATTTGCCATGGCTATGTAATCACCCAATTCCAGCAGCTGTTTTGGGAGGACAGTTTGCTCAACATTGAAGCAAAAATCAGGTGACAGTCAATTACCTCTGGGGAGGCCGTATTGTCTGTACAAAGGTAGGACCAGGTTTAAGATAACCCATTAGTGTTGTGTTTTCCAGTGTTCTTGGTGTTGCTCCTTTGGCTTACACCCGACAGCCCCAAAAATCTGAGCTGTGCTCTCTCCAAAACGATTCACAAATCTGAGATCCTTTTGAAAATCGAAATTAGGTGATTCATTTCCCGATTCTCATCAGAGCAGGAAAAGTGGGCTAGGATTAGTTGGGCACTTCAACCAGTGTACTGGACAAGTTTCTCCGATCAATTCCAATATTGCACCTGATCCTGTTTGGAATATAGTATTGGGCACTTTTTCGTTTGGTGATAATATTCAATTGGGATCTGAATGTCACTGGAGGATTGGGGGCTTATCAGAATCCCTTGCTTGACCGTTCTTTGAGTACTTGCACAAAAGTCGAGAGCGGTTCTCCAGTGTTTGATGTGAGATTAAGCTTGAAGGAAAAGAACATGGGTTGCTTTGTCTTGGAATTGGACTCAGGTGCTCGATATTTGGTGATTTGATCTCAAACTGTTGAAGGGGGAGTAGAGGTTCCTTATGTTGAGAATTTGACTGTCTTTCCTGAAACCGTTGAGCTTATGTTTCTGGATGATATCATGAGGCATTTGTTGGAGAAAGATTGGAAAAAGATCAGCTAATTCTTTGATGGGAGTTGCAGAGGGAATCCTGGACAATCAGGGATTGGGGGTGTTTTCAGGGATGAGAATGGGGTTGTCTTAGCCATGATTTCAGGCCCAATTGGAGTGGGTGGCTCTTTCAGAGCCGAGATCCATGCAGTTATGGAAGGAATCCAGAAAGCTAGGGAGATGAATATCAACAAACTCATAATTGAGGGGGATTGTGGTGGTAGGATGGCTGATAAAGACAACTGTGGTTTATGGCATTACAGTAATGTGAGGAGGAAATTTAGATGGCTGGTTTGAGGAATGGAAGTTAAAATCATTTGGGTAAAAAGATCAGCTAATTCTTTTGCTGATGGGTTAGCTAAACAAGGGGTGGAGAGGGAGTCAATGTTTTGGGCACAGCTGTAATTTTATTCTTCTTTCCCTTTCTCTTTTTTCTCTTTTTTTCCTTTATTGGGGCTCAAACTGTATTCGGAAGATAGAAAGTTTGTCTTCCTAATTGTAATTTTTATTGAAATTACATAATGAATTGTGTTATTGATCAAAAAAGAAAGATTGGAGAAAGGTTGAAGAGAAGGGTATTTTTGGAATTTAAAATGTTTTAAGGTGCATATGACATCATGCTATCAAAATAACTAATGGACTACTAACAGTTAGACCTAAGTGTATATTTTCCAAAGTTTAGGGTACTAAGATGTCAAACTTGAAAGTTTGGGCCCTTAAGTGTCACTACCCCCAAAGTACAGGGTGCTTGTCTATGATTTTCCCTTTTTGGGGACTATTTTTTGTCTGTCACTGTAATTCCCTGACATTATACTATATCAGAACATTCACTTGAAATGCAGGAATAGAAGAGGCTTATCTATGTTACAGTTGTTGGTTTGTATTATTTATATCTATGGACTACTATAAAAAGTGTGAATAGACCTTGTGTTTCTGGACCTTTTCTTGACTAAGATACCCCTATTTTAGTATTTAGTCCCTCTATTATGAGGGAAGAAAATGTAATGTGGATTGCTTTCATGTTAGTTGTTACTTAGATATTCCTATTTGTCTCCATTTATTCATGTTTAAGTATCATCTCTTTTTCAGTCTTGTATCTCTATCACATTCTTTTAGGGATTTTATCATTTTAACCTCTTGAGCTAATGCAGGATAGGAAGATATAAGAAGCCCGTAGAAAACTGGAAAATGGAGCTGAGTACCATAAAAGATGCATTTGATCGTGTTGCAAAGAAACAGAGGCTGTCTTCTTCCAAAGCCCAAGAAGTAATTGATCAGGTTGGGCGAGAAATTGAGCAGGCACTGACAAAAATGCACTCTGTTCATGACTCAACTTCCTCATCTGATCAGAAATCCATCCTCATGGAACTTAACAGTAAGCTGAATGAGATGGGCCCACTCAAGCAGCTAGAAGGTTCACAGAAGGAGTTGAATGTAGCATTGAGCAAGTATGCAAAATTGCTTGAGAAATCATTCAACCCTGATATATCCAAGGCATACAGGAATGTAGATTTTGACACACACACAGTAAACCAAATTATTGCAGGCCATTTTTATCGGCGAGGTTTGTTTGATCTTGGGGATTGTTTCATAAATGAATCTGGGGAATCAGAGGCCACGTATCTGAAATCTCCATTCCTGGAGATGTATCAGATACTTGAGGCAATGAAGTGTAGGAACCTTGAACCTGCACTCAATTGGGCTACCACCAATTGTGAGAAGCTCATGCAGAACCGATCAAGCCTCGAGCTGAAACTTCACAGGTTGCAGTTCGTGGAGATACTGCAAAAAGGAACCAGAGCTGATGCACTTACGTATGCTAGGACTTACCTTGCTCCTTTTGCTTCCAGGCATATGGCTGAGATTCAGAAGCTCATGGGCTGTCTATTATGGGCTGGAAGACTTGACTGCTCTCCCTATGCTGAATTTTTGTCTCCCACCCATTGGGAGAAGCTGGCTGAGGAGCTGACCCAGCAGTTCTGTTGTCTCTTGGGGCAGTCCTTTGAAAGCCCCTTGAGTGTGGTGATAGCAGCAGGGGTTCAGGGATTGCCTACCTTGCTGAAGCTGGCAAACGTGATGGCTAGTAAGAAGCAGGAATGGCAAGCAATGAAGCAGTTGCCAGTTCCAGTGGACTTGGGGAGCGAGTTCCAGTTTCACTCAATTTTTGTTTGTCCAGTTTCCAGGGATCAAGGTAGTGAAGAGAATCCACCAATGCTTATGCCCTGTGGTCATGTGCTTTGCAAACAGTCCATTGTGAAGCTGTCAAAGAGCAGCACACGCACCTTCAAGTGTCCATACTGTCCACTTGAGGCCACGGTGGCAGTGTGTAGGCAGCTCTATTTCTGATACATGGTCACAATACAATTTGATGGGGGTATGAACACCTCTCTCTCTCTCTCTCTCTCTCTCTGAACTGAAAGGAAGTTGTGTTTTGTATCTGGTTGATGATGTATTGGTGGTGGTGACAAGGGTGGTTGGTGTATGTATGCTTGTAAATAGAAATTCTTTCTAGATTCTTGTTGGATGCCCCTAATGCATAAATAAAACTTTTTTCTTGTTTAGTAAAGTCTTGCAAATGTGATGCAGGGTTGGAAACCCTAACCAATCAAGATTTACGGTATTTACAAATTACAAGTATACTCTGATAAATAGAGTTATCATGACCCCCAAGTATTGCGAGAGCATCTATGCCTGGTTTGGTTGCTGAAAGATATAACCTGGTTTCTGCTGTTCCGATCAAGTTGAGCATACCTAGTGGCTGCTCTAACGCTATAACCAAGGGTCGAAGAAAATTGGATTTTGTGCTCACAAATTGATCGTCACACCATCCTCACAGCACTTGCTGCCGTCCATTGGGAACATCTTGTATGCTTTAATTCATGGGAAGATGTTCCCAATACAAGGCTTAAATGTTGAGTTGGGTTGAAGTAGGAAACATGGATATCCAGGCAAGCTCATAAAATCTTGAAAGTGCGTTACTAACACTAACTAAAAGACTTGAATGACAATATCATTCAAGTCTTTGATTTAGATGACACTACCAAAAAAAAAAAAAAATCTACCTCTGATGCAAATTTTGCACTCAGTTCGGTTTTGCTTTTGCATCCTTTTGCTTGTTTGTAAGTTGTAATTATATGATTTTGCACGGCTGCAGATGCAAAACCCAAAGGTAGTCTAAATTTTTCATCACAATAAACGACGACGATGTAAAATTGCAAAACCTTCCGTCCTGTCTCAGTTCACTTTATCTATGGTGGCATCATCTCATTTTACGTTCTAATTCTTATCAAGGTTCGAAGTATTGATATGAATTGCATTATCGTATTATATATATAGGCTTTTTTAAGTTTTAAAATTCTGTTTTAGTTGCAAAATCTGAAGTTGTCTCATGGGTTGCACCTCTAGGTGCTAACCTCATCCATCTCATCTTAAAATGGAATCAAATGGAGCTCATTCATCTACCCAGGTTTGCCCCAAAGCAATCTTTTCTTCCTTTGCTATTGTACCTTCTAACTTTTTGGTTTATGGTTGTTGCCATTTCTCTTTTCTTTCTTTCTTTCTTTCTTTTTATTTTGAGTCGGCCTCTAGCCCTCGAGGAAGCCGTTGGCATCTAAGGAATACTTTTGATGCCCAAAGGTAGTGTTTGGTGGCTTCTCAACGATATTGTTCACTAACATATAGCTGCTAAGGAAGACGGTCCTTGAGGGTTGGACCATCATTATAACCTGACTCATTTAACATAACTAAGTTGGTTGTTTTAATATGATTCGGTTTGATCGGGTTTGATCAATCTCAACTATATCCATTTAGTTCTCAGTGATTTTGTTTATGCTTGTTAAAATTGTATTGTTTAATAACTAATAAAAATAAAATTATTAACAAAAATAATGATAATCCATTGAAATTCCGTATAAAAAATGAAAATTAATACAAATTTATAAGCAGTGGTATTATATTTCTTTCTGAGGGTTCCCATTTATCCTATACCTCCCAAGTCATTTCACAAAGTTGGACTAGAGTTTTCTTTCCCCACTTATTCTATCAAGCCTATTCCCTTGGTTGTGGTATCACTTGATAATAGATAGAGACAATTGAAATCTTTTTAATCCATTCATGCACATGAATAATTGGATAAAGAGGCATTTGGTTACCATAAGAGTCATAGCTACTTCCACTGTTTACTAATGTTTGATTGAATTTCTTTACATTGACATTTAGAGCACTGGATTCCAATCATATTGTATTAGCATCCATAGGGACCATTGCAATGCTTTGTTTTATTTAAGCAATCGGATTCCCCTTGTCATTATTAGTCTAAGTTGATTGTTCAATGCCCGAGCAAGGACTCCAAGGGAGTTATTCCCAATTTGTTTCCCAACCAACACACTGTGACCTATTCTTGCCACGGAAGCAACTCGAACAATTCATTGATAGCCAACAAGTTCGAGACTAGGATCCCTATGCCTAGCACTTAAAGTTTATGGATCCATTTTCTGACTTCCTTGCATATATTGTAGCATTGACTAGAGGATGTTTACCATAGAGATCTGATCATGATTGGCACTTGGATCTCTGGAATTTCAAGGGTCACTAAGGGGCACATTGGAACACCAAGCAACGTGCAGTGCTCATTCGGCACTAAACCCTAAACCCTACCTCCAACTGAGCCAATTATAGGATGTAAGTTGTTAAAAAGTAAAGATAACTTTTCTTGGGGCCCGCATTGATGTATCCAAACTCCCTAACCTTGCCATTAAATGTCATGCCTTGGTTTGGGAATTTTAACATAATTACCTTTTGAAGCTTGTATTGCCCACGCTGTCTAATGAGTGTGAGCTAAACAATACAGAACATCCATTTTGAGGGCTAGATGATTTGGTAGGTGAGTTATTACACACTCCTTTGCAAATTTTGGCTTCTATGGCTATACCCTATTGCCTTAATTAAGTGATACACTTTGTGGGTTCTAGGTTAGCACATAATTAAGCACCCTAACCTAGCTTTTGAATCACCCCACATCATCGGTTCTTCTTACAAAAAATGCCCCACTTAGTGTTCTCAATTCCATGGCATGGCTCATTAGAGTTGCACCTCCAATGCCTCTAATCATTGACTTTACCGGATAGAGTTCACACTTGGGCTCTAGAAATTTTGAGGGAAGCTTCGAAGGGAACCAACTAGTAGAAGGTTTGATTAGTCTTTTTCCCTTATACCCAAGTCAAATGAATGATTTGCACGCTAATATCGTTGCAGGCCTCCACCAAAATTCAATTTGGCTTCACCACACTCAATCATAGTTCACCATCTTTCGGATCTTAACAAACATGCTTTTTCTCAAACTCTTCTCAAAAGATCTAAGTTAATTGGTTGTCCAATGCATGAGGGGATTCCGCCAATCAACTTCCTTGCATCTTACAAAGTTTATTCACCCATTGATTCATGCACATTTTAGGCTTCTTGTCCATGTTTCAAGATAGGCCAAATGGGGAACCAATAGGTATTGAGACATGCCTAGGGTGTGTGCTTCCTTCCATGGTCACAACATGTCTCATTGAGTATAACATGACAGTTTGAGCTCAGGGCATTGTCACAATCGCATCAGTCTACTCCTCAAGCCAAGTGGCACACTAGTTCTCCTCATTTCGCATTTGACCATTGGGCATCTTTGGCCTCCATCTAATTCCCTCCCAATAATTTTAAGCAGTATTTAATTCTATTTTCAAAGTCCTTTCATCTTTCTCTCATGGTACTTATTCCCTGTCGACCTCTTATTAGTATTTAGCTTTGGGAAGAATTTACTGCATTCCCAAACAATCTAACTCACCAACAATGCCTACTTTATATTCTAATCACCGAGGTGGTGTAATTAGGATGTAGCCATTGGCATGCCACATATAGTAACCCAAAAGAATGTCCTGAACTACAGAAATATATGTATACTTCCACTTCAAGGAGAGGAGAATTGCGATTACCTACTACAACATTATAATGATTAATATCAAGTCATAAACTAAGGGTCCGTTTGGTTTGCAGTGAGAATCAGAATTGAAATCAGAATCAGAATTAGAATGGTCAATTTCTATAATCTGTTTGGTTCATACAAGAATGAGAATAAGAATTAAAATCAGCAGGCATGGAATTTTATTCCCAAGAGAGAGACAGAGAATGGCCATTCCCTCAAATGGGAGAATGTCATTCCAGCAGGAATGAAAATGAGATTCCGATTCCATCCAACCAAACAGTTGGAATCAAAATGCCCATTCTGATTCCAATTCCAGACCTTTATTCCCGCGAACCAAACTGGGCCTAAGGTCAGTCACTAGTGTGTTTGGTAGGCAGCCACGATCCCTACAAAAGAAGTTGTTGCAAACTCATGGATAGATGGCATGCATTCTCTATAAAAGCTTTTAGCAACTGACACATGGTAAGATCGTGAAGGGGTGACAATGACAGCCTATGCAGGCCAGTAGTTGGTCCTCACTTCGCAATCTGACGCATGTTCCCGTTCACTTATAAATAGAGATCTAAGCTTAACTACCTTAGGCATTCCTCTTCACTTATAAATAGAGACCCCTAAGTTGAAGAAAGGGGCCCCTTTAATTCATTCTTTCCCTTATCCTTCTTGAGTTCTGAAACCTTAATCCTTTTTGCACTGCTCTCCTCAACTTCAGGGCCTACGTCTCTATCACCACGACCTTACATTTAGGGTCTCCGGTTATGGTAAGAAGATGCCGCTGAGAAGATACACTTGGGAACTCGGGCGGTTTCACAAAATCAGGACCGGTTCATCGATTTTCCGGTTAAATTGGCCGGTCAGCTGTTTTTTGTCAAATGTGGTTATTGGGACATGACTAGACTGGTCAAGGTCCCAAGTCATGATTTAACCGGTCCGACTGGCCGATACAGTCTGATTTTCTAAACACTGGTCAAAACTGTTAAAACATAGTTTGTCATATCAACATAAAAAAAAAAAAATAAATAAATAAATGAAAAAAAGAGAGAAAAACTGGGGTGAAGCATGAAAGGAGACATTTATTGAAAAATTGAGGAAAACAGCTATATCAAAACAACTTGAGGGATTCACCTTAGAGATAACATCTGCCCCATCGTCTGGAACAACCAACCCATATACGTTTCGTTCCATTGTGAAGTCCTCACTAATCAAAGAGGCAATATTGCTTATATCGACAAAGTCAATGTGAAGCATTTCCCTACCCTAGGCAAGAAAAGGAGTAGAGTGAGTGGAGAGAATTTAAACAAAAATGAGCGTAGTCTGAAATGGCGAAGTGAAAGCCTAAAAGTACCTACTGAGTAAAAACATCAAATTATGATAAAAGAAAATATCGCCAGCTTTGATGAAAACCTAAAATGGCTATAAGGTGACACCCAAACTTGGTGAAAACCTTGCAAGGAGGTCTTAAGGGCAAAAAAGGTAAAAAAAAAAGCGAAAATAATATTTTTCCCGACGCTGCCATGAGAGCCTTCAATTCAAACTGGATGCTAAATTCAAGTGTCTTGTTAACATCCCTCATCCTTACTTTTATCTCATTAACCTTCCTATTCTATTCTGAGAGATTACAGACGCTGGGTGCATATGCAGGCGAGTTCACATCTCCTCTCCACAAGGGCTGCCCCACAACGTTTTACAACACATCCTCGCCATGTATTGGGAACATTCTTCAATGATGACATCATCGGTTCTGATATTATCATTAAGATATGTTTTCGATACATGGCAGGGATGTGCTGTGGGACATTGTGTGGCAGCCCCTTGTGGGAAGGAGATGCGATCTCTCATCTCTATGCAGGCACCCAGATAGATCATGCAAACCCCTCATGCATGAAAAACGTGTCCGGTGGAAACTCCATCGGTTCAATTGAATTGACGACCCATAATTTCAATAACGATGGTAATAATACTGGTAATGACATAAAAAAAAGAAATAAGAGAGTAAAAAGGGGTATTACCTACTGAAGTGCAAATATCATTTTGTTTGCATTTCACAGTAAAGAAGACGGGGTTACAAAAGTATACTAACTCGGCTGAACCGGCCTGAACCTGGATTAGACCATACTACAAGATGTTTTTGAAAAAAGGTCTAGCCAACCTCCTGATTTCTCTCTCTCTCTCTCTGTGTTTTGCAATGTCTTCATTGACATTAATATATATGATGCACGTGAAATCACATGTAAACAGCCCAAATGTTTTACCAACCGAAAAGTAGGCCACTTGATAGTCTTAAGTAATTTTGGAAACCACAGGGTATATTTAAGTAATCTGCCCTAAAATTAATACTTATTCACAAATTAATAAATAAATTTCAGATGTTGTATGTTCAATATAGCCTTGGTTTCAACTCTCACAGAATCTATTTTAAAACCATTTTATTCGCAGCATACAATATCAGTCATTTTTCAATTCATTTCATTAATAATATTTTATTGAAAAACTTTCATTAATAATTTTAACGAATACGATACATATTTAATCCCAACATCACCAATCAAATTTTGATTTAGGTATATCCTATTTGATCCAATCCGTTTGCAACTGCAGCTTAGGAAAAGGGTGCTTATCATTTGCATACCCACTTAATTTAACCAAACTACTAATGTATTACGGAATAACAAAGTTGATAGAAAAACACCTGGTCACAGGCCCAGAACGAAATACTATTCATAAAAAAATATCAATGTTAAAGTAATGTGGCCACAACCCCAGAGCACTGATACATAGAACGGGTGAAAAGCGGTAATAAGAACATACAGATTTTGCCCCATTCTAATGCTTTTTACCATATAACAGATGAAAGTGCATTCAGAAATTATATCCAACTTAAAAAAAAATATTATATCCAACAAAAAGACTGGGTAAAGTTTGCCCCCACGATCGCAGACCTGAGCAGAAAATACAGTCCATAGCAATACCATAGGCTGCTGTCACCTTACAGTTAACATGAATACCCCTGAAATGATTATCACCATAGTTGCAGAAGGCTTTTTAACTTGGAATAATATGATCAATTGGATGAGCTTCTTGGAACATTAGAATGACTTATAAACACATCTGCACAAATTGTCAGCTCCACATCCACCTACGTTTGCAGTTTCTTGCACTTGTTAAGCCTTAATGGATACCATGAGAGCTTTGATCGCTATAATGTACTAGAGCTTTTGTTGGCCCTATCTCTGACCATGGTCTTAACAAAGAGCTCCCCCGCCCTGTATGATGACCGAACCTAGAAAAATGAAACCATCAGACAAAGATGCAGTAGTCTGTTTTCTTTTTCTTTTGGGTTTTGTTTGTTTGTGTATTGGGAGGGGATCATAATGGTATACACAAAATGGGGTTACTATTGGACCATGTGGCCTATGGCCCTTGATGTGTGAAGCCTTCGCTTGTTCGGACAAACTATGATCACTGATAAAACAAAAATGGATGATAGTTTACGTTGCATGTTTGCACAACACTACCACGTTTTCTTTGTTACTATGCTACTATTTTTCTTTATTAAACAATGGGTTTTCTTGCAAGGTTCCCTTGGCCACAAGTCTATCCAATGTCTAAATGTTTAGTACACAACACAGTCCGGTGATTGAGCAGAACTGGGTCATCCTCACCAATGTCTTATCCTGTTGGGAGCTCAACAAGAGTGAATATTGTCATGAAACTTGCGACCTATTCAAAAGAGCAGAAAAATAGAAGAAAGAGATCCAAGGGCAAAAGAGGGGAGGAAAAAATATAGAAAGAAGAGTGCGGCAAGAAAACATATCATCACCGGTGTTCAACTAATATTATACTATGAAGCACAAAACAATAAATAAAATAAAACTAACATTTATACTAAACAGTCTAAAACAGGAGTACAACTCAAATGGCAAGACTATCCCTCCTAAGCAATTAGAGTAAATGCACAGAACTGCTCTACTGCCTACTCTATTACATCATATTATACTTCTCCAGCTTGTTATAAATGTAACCTATTCTACCTTGACTCAAGATTTTAATAAATATATCTGCTAGTTAATATTCAGACTTGACATAAGGTGTAGATATGTCACCATTCATAAGCTTCTCTCTCACAATGTGCTAGGCTACTTCAATGTGTTTCATTCTCTTATGAAACAAAGGTGAAAAACATGGGAACCAGATCTTTAGCAGATAAGAAAACAGAGAGAAAAGAGGAGACAGGAGAGAAAAGATGAGAAGTGAGAAGAATCTCCAATAGAGTGGCTGGCGGTGTTCCGCTCTTATTTTATTAGGGTGGCATAATAAAACATGAAATTACTAATATACCCCTGCACCTATAAAAAGTGCATACATGAATACATTTCAACACTCGCCCTCAAGTTGGGTCATAGATGTCAATCATTCCCAACTTGTTACATAATTTGATATGGCACAAGGATCTTTTTTTTTTTGATCAATAACACTTTCATTAATTCATCAGTAGAAAATTTACAAGTGGAAGACAAACACACTTATCTTCCAAGAGTCACAAAGAACTTCAAGAAATGAGAAAAGAAAATACAAAGATACAAAGACACCAACGTTACAGCTTAGCCCAAAACAAAGAATCCCTTTCTGCCCCTTGTTTTGCTAAACCGTCAGTTAGGGAATTA